CGCCGGGAGCCACAGCAGCTTGCGCGCCGCGGCCGCCAGGAAGGCGCCCGCGCGCTCCCATCCGTGCACGCAGGCCAGGCCCCCGAAAGGCAGCGTGATGTGCTGGGCGGCCATGACACGCCCGCGCAGGCGGTAGGTTACCCATGCGACCGCCTGGTGCCTAGGCAGGACCGGCACGCGCCTGAAGGCGGAGTCCACGTCCGCTTTCCAAAATTCGAGCTTAATCGAAATCTGCGCGCGCGCACGGGATTGACGCGCCGCTGCAGGCTGGATTGCGCGCGGCGCACCTCCTCGTGAAAGGCACTTGCCAGTGCAGCCAACTGGTCCATCGTGTCGTGGCGCCATTTTTCCTCCACGCTGGTAGCGCCGTTGACCCTCGCGCGAGAATAGTCGTCGACGCATCGCACCTGCGCTGCGGCGCGCGGGCGCGACCGACGCCAGGCCGCGCGGCGCGCAAGCCTTTGGGGAGCCGTCTGGCTTGTTCCCCTGCGCTACTGAGAAGCGAGGTGCCAAAATCTTATCGTGCAGTGCCAAATCGTCGACCAGCACTGGCGATGTCATTCGCCCGAGTGCGGCGTCCGCCACTGCCCCAGCATGCAATTCGGCAGCGTGAGCGTCGTCGCGGAGACTAACAATGATCGCCGCATTCTGCGCTTCCGCGCGGCCCATTAGATCGCTGACGGGCTCGCGCTCTTCGCGGGCCACGCGACGCTCGGCGACGCCGGAGGCTGGCAGCGCGCCCACGAACGGCGCCCCTTCGCTGAATAGGCGCTCAACGTCGTCGGCCCAACCGATCGGGGTCGCGATGGCGCCTAGGGTCGGGCCGTCGACCTCGACCTCGGAGACTGCGGCTCTGGCCGCCGCGTCCACGCCGTCCAGCCAGGCCCGCTGGGCCCCCGAACGTCTCGACTCGCGGCAGCGCGCCTCTATGGCTGTAATCGCGGCCTCCCTTTCGCTGAAGATCTGCCGCGCGGCGCGTGCGGGGTGGCGCGCGCGAGTTGCGACTGTCGCGCCTGCTGGCAACTGCGCGACTTTGCCCAGTCGACACAGGCGTGGAGATCGTCGTGCAGGGGCGCGGCGTCTTGAAACCACGCCGTGCCCTTCGACGCGGCATTAATGACAAAGTCGATCTTTGCCTTGTCTTCCCCCTGCGACGCCGCGGCGCTGGCGCGCGGAAGGCGCGGGGCATCGCGGCCGCGCTCTCCGCCTCGGCGCTGGACGCCAACTCTTCAAAACGCGGGAGCCACGAGCCCGCCGCGGCACTGCTTGCAGCGTTCCGCTCGTCAGGTACTGGCGCGCTCCAGTCTTCCGACGGGCACATTGCCCCAGAGGCCGTCACTGGCGCCCGTGCCTGCCGGCCGACGGCCCCCAAGGGTTCGGGACGCCCGCGCGCGACGGAAGCGCGCCGCGCCTGTGATGCAGAGAGAGACCTGCCATCTGGCAAATTCGGCGCGGGCATGCCCGCGCTCTCGCGCTCCGCCAAGCCTGGGCGCGCTTTCCGCGCGCGAGCGCGCGCTGCCGGCCGCGCGACGGTGCTTGCGCCTCAATCCTCGCGCCTGCGCTTCGGCGTGCGCGGCTGCTCTGTGCCCCGCGCTGCGTCGTGCTTGCCTTTGCCCTTCGCGTGGGCCCGCGATTCCCAGGACTTGCCCCAGCTCTTGGGCTCCCAGGACTTGCCCCAGCCCTTGTCGCTCATCAAGGTCTGCTGGGACTTGCCCTTCATGCCTTTCCGCCTATGGACTCCCATGGGGAGCGCCCCTTGCGGCTGCCCTCTGCTGCCGTGTCGAGAGGGTTTGGGGATGCCCGCGATCCGTGTACTCGCGCTCCGTGCGCTATGTACAGGCTCTGCTCTTGCTGCAGCGCGTCGCGGTTGACGGTAAAGGAGCTGGAGCCACTGGCGCGATCGGCCCACTCCCGCCTGGCCAGCTCGTGATAGATGACCGCCAGGGCTGTGGACTTGTGCACCCCGCGCGCCTGCCCGCAACGCGCGCGGGCGGCGGCCGGCCTCGGCCGCGAGACCAGGGAAGGATCAATTTCTACTGCAGTTTTTCCGTGCATGCGACGTCCTTGGTGCCCGCCATCGCGCGGCCACAGTTTCAATCTGGCCTGTGAAGCTCGTGCCTCGGGCCACTGGCCCACCGGTCGATACGCGACCGACTCAGGGCATGAGCGACAGCGCTCACCTTCGCGAGGCGGCGGCTCCGCCCAGATGCGCGCGCCGGGGGGGGGGGGGGGGGGGGCGAAAGAGCGCGCCTTCGTTGTTCGTCGTCCGCGCCGTCCTGACCGCCGCGCTTCTCCACCGCCCAGTGTGGCAACCACTTCTTCAAATCGCTGTAAATGAACGGTCTCGCGATCCCCTTCGCTCGGGCCGCTTTGACCTGCGCCGCTCCGAAGCGGCGCGTGCGAACGCTGAGCGATACACCGCGCGCGCGTGGGCGCCTGGCTGTCGAGCCAGTCGCACGACGCCGGCGACGGCCAGCAAGCAGACGGCAAATCGCTGAGGCGGATGTCGCCCAGCTTCGCGCCGATGTCGACGTGCGCGGCCGCAGTCGGCTTGCTCGCGAGTGCGTCCACTAGCGCAGCGACAGGGTCAT